TTAAATAACTTGGAGTCAAGCCAGGACTCAAAGGCTTTGTGCTTTTCCATGATAGTACTTCTGCTATACAATGTAGAGTTAATGCATTATGATTTCTGGACAATTATGTAATGTTTTAATATTATTCTGACTTTTGGAAACTGTTAGTGCCTCTACATAGTTGACAGAGGCCTAATATCCATAGTTTAGGTCCTTGATTAGTTTTATCCTGAGAATAGCAGGGAGCCTTTGAGGGTTATTGAGCAAGAAAGGGTCACTGTCACTTTGGTGCCTAGTGCTAGGGAAGGAAGGATTGCTCAATCCCTAGCCACCTCCCTGAAGTTCCTGCCTCCCATGTAGTTTTCATCATTCTTAAACTGTCAGGCATGGGGGGCTAGGGGTGTCCAGAAGTTGAAATGGTTCCTGCTATCCTGTCTCCATCCCTCAGGCCCCAGGCTGAATGGAGTTGATCTTGATGAAGCCATCCTCATTTTCACTCATCTCTGAACAGATCCCCTTCTTGTCTCAGGCAGAGACAAGTGTTGGTAGCTGGTGCAGAGGTGGCATTTAGCAGCAAATGCAATGAGGAGAGAAAGGACCATACCTACCAGCACAACCCCTATCAGCACAGGCCATGCCAGGCCTGGTGCATGATTCAGGGGGTCGTGGCTGATGCTATTGGGGAGTTCTGAGAGCCCCACAGCTGTTTAGCTTGTCTCACTCATGGAGTGGCTGGAAGACACTTGTGATCCTTATCCTCGGCCAAAAGAGCCCTGTCTCCAAGGAGATCCCCAGGTACCAGGGCACAGAATTCTGTTGGAGGACCAGTTTGGGCTAGAGATTATCTGCAAGTAGAGTACCTGAATCAGGGGAGTACCTGCCTGGGAGGAGTGTCCAGGCTAAGAAAGCACCCTGATTTGTAGCTTCTTTTCTGCTCCCAGGGCTTTGTGGATTTCCTCTCCCATTCCCCCCACTCCTAACCTATTCATGTTTATTGTGAGTTGACTGAATATGGTAAGATGTGTTTGTTGGTTGATATGAATTGAGCTTGAGCCAACTCATTTTCTTACTATTAATTTTCTTCACTGGCACTAGAGGTTTGGGGAAAAAATGGAGAGCGAGGGCTGGAGTGAATAAAGGAGAGAGAAAACCAAATTTATTGAGTGCCCATGTGCCAGATAGCTAGTGGAACCAAGACTGTAGCGCTGGTTTGTTTAACCTCTTTCTGCCATGCACCAATTCCCTTTTTACTACAAATCCTTAAATCAAATGTTAGTCTACTTCTGGCCCAGTCGTCACCTATTATTTTTTCTCTCAATGCTATGGCTTAATTAACTTGGGTGTTTACAGGACAGTGTTGGTAATGGTAAAAGTGGAATTTACAAAACTATGATGAGCAGGAAATTTCTCAAGGGGTAAAGGAGTTAACTATAAAAAATGAGACCAGCTAACTATATTGTTTGTCATTAGTTTGTATAAGTTTGTCATTAGTTTTAGAGTCCAGGAAAATAGGAGAAAAAAAAGGATGAATGATTCAGTACAAATCTATCACCACTACTAGAAAACGAATTGAAATGTGTTAGTTATATATTAATATGTTAAAAGAATATTACTTTTAAAGTGTAGGAGGGATTCATTTAATGTTAGAGATTATTATGGAAGAACTCAATCTATAAAAGAGAAACAAATGAAGAATGGAAGTTGTTAATGAAACAATGGTTGTGGAGTTTGAGGTTGTATTTAAGTAGGTTGGGAATCAAGAGAATTGGATTATTTTCATTACTGATATTGAATAATAGTTGACTTAATCTCTTTATAGATGTTAGCCTGAGAAAGGCTATGTAGTGTCTGCTGCCTTGCCTAAATCATTGTAAAAGTACATAATTTTGAAATGAAACAATTGTGTATAAGGCTGCTTAAAACTGTTCACATGAATTAACCTATACCATTTATGAATATCTTATTTGATACTGGTTGTATGCAATTGCTATTGAATATTTAAATTTGGGTGTCTTAAACTGGAAGTGTGATGTAATAGAAAGAATTTAGACATTAGTTCCAAGTAGCCTAGTGTATGACTCTGGGCTCTCTGCTTTTTTCTAGCTATATTCTGTGACCACTATGAGCTTCCACTTCTTTATCTGTACATTGACAGCTGTATTAGTTATCAATTGCTGCAAACAAACAAAAACAAACACCCTGTCTCTCCCTCCTAACCCCCCCAATAAACTTAGTGGCTTAAAATTGCATACAGTTATTATCTCAGAGTTTCTGTGTCTGGGCATGGCTGAGGTATATACCTTGTATTCAGGGTATCTCATGAAGCACAATGAAGGTGTTGGCAAGGACTGGGGTTACCGCAGAAGGCTTGGCTGGGAAGGGATCTGCTTCTAAGCTTACTACATATTAGTGGGCAGGATTCAGTTTCTTGCAGGCTATTGCACTGAGGACCTGGTTTCCTTGCCAGTGGTTATCTCAATGCTGCTCTCAGTTCCTTGCCATGGGAGCCGCTCCATATGGCAGCTTGCTTCACCAATTCAACAAGGGAGAGAGTTTACCAGGAAGGTGGAAGTTAGAATCTTGTGTAATCAAATCATGGAAGTGACATCCCCCTCCACATTGAGGTCTTTAATTGGTTAGGAGCCAATTACTCAAGGAAAGGGGATTACACGAAGGCGTGGCTATCAGGAAGCTAACTCTTATTGGAGTGTGCCTCTCACATTGACACTAATATCTCCTGTATGATTGTTGTGACTATTTGGAGAAGTGCAATCTGTTTAAAATTCTCTTATTTTTGGTCTGATCTCAAACTGCTTTTCTAGATGTTACCTATTAGTCTTCTGCATAAGAATCGAACTTACAATTACTACTAATACTATTTTCCATTTTTTGTCTCACCATTTGGACTCTGTGGAATCTGTTTCTTTATAATGATTGCCACCAGCAATTTGACTTGTGAAATTCTGTTCATCTTCTAGGACCTATCTCAACAGCAACTTTTTAAATGAACTTTCCTTGACTCATCTTTCTCTGCTTCAGAAGTCATCTCTCTCGTCTGATTTGTAACACCTTTTCATAACTTCATTAGGGCCTATGTCAGTCTGCCTTGAATTTTTTCTTTGTTACTTAGATTATAAGCAATGATTCTGTCTTAATCTTTTCAAAGGAAAAGATTATAACATCCTTTTGAAAATATAGTAAGACAATATTTGTTGAATAATGAATTACTTTTTCCAAAGTTAATCAGTTTAATAACTTGTAGAGATAGACACAAAGAATTTGACATGGTTTGTGATTGTTTTATATATTATAAAGCCAATAGTTCTAGCATCATAAGGAATAAATTATTGCACATAATTTTCCAAGGAACTACAAATATCCTTTTATATGCTTAAAGTGATTGTAACAACCATTTATTTATTCATTTGTTTACTTATTCATTTTTTTAAACCAACAAATATGTAAGCATTTATTATGATAAGCCCATATATTAGAGATGTGGGATGAAAAATCTCTAACATCTTTTGTGTATTTTTCTGGATTTATAGTAAGCTATAGTTTTTTAAAAAAATATGTTTTTATTGATTTTAGAGATGGTGGAGCTTAATCTATACTGAGGACTGAGCCCAAAACTCAGGAATGTGCCCTGATGGGGAATTGAACTGTGACTTCCTGGTTCATAGGTCCACACTTAACCACTGAACACTAGCCAGGCTATAGGAAGCTATCTTATTAAGAACAATTTAACCTTTTGTTCCTAGCTCAGGCATAGTATTTTGAGTATCAGACACTGACTGTCGCACAGTTAGATGCACAGCTGTAACTGTTAAACCATGTAAGTGAGGACTGCCTGTTTCTGCACCAAACCGTGTTGATTAGGAGTACTAAAATGACTTTTTAGTTTTTTCTCCTTTTTTGGTCATTATTGTGCTGTTAGTGAGATAGTTTCTGGTTCCTTTGTTGAGAAATCAGGTAGCCAAGTACACTAGTTTTCTGTATAAAATGTAAATTCATGGACTCTGAGTGAAGTTATAAGTTGAAGAGAAAGTCCGTGAGATGGGACATAGAATCTATTGTGATACCTGAAATGAATTTTTAAAAATGATTTTCTTTTCAGAAACTGAATTTCGTTTTCTTTCAGTTACATTCTAGGTAGTTGAAGTTGACTTGTATGTGTTGCCTTATAAGTCATACAAGACTTCCAGATAAAGTCAAGGGTTGCAGCAAATATGGTTAAACTTTTCAGAAGTTTAGTTTGTGTTATTGTCTGAGCATTCAGACAGCGGCTAAATGTCACTGTGTGTTTGTAAATCTAGTCTGTAAGAAAAAAAGGATAGGTGCCTCATAAAGCAACACATCAACTGTGGATTTGAGTGTCCTAAAAAGCATGTAAAGGGATGGGATCACATCCTGTTTAACATTTTCATAAAATGAACTTTGATTGTGAAGTCAGCCTACTTTTTATTTTTATCAAAAGGAGGTTAGTCACTGTACCCATACATTGTTATCTTCAAAGTATCTTTTTTTTTAAAGAATTTTTATTTCTCTTCAGATTTGTTCTTTGATTATTAAATAGCTTTGACATTATCCTGCTAAACATTTTTGTTTCTAACTCTGTGTTTAGTCTTGTGAATTTTATTTAGACTATAAAGAACAACAAAAGCCTAATTTAACTATATAAAGTTATTTCATAGCACATGTCCTTTGGCAAGCATTCGGCAATATAGATCTGTCTGTTCAGGGTATTTTTCAGTTAACTTATACATTTTCTGTTTTTTCTATGTTAGAAAAATGGCCATACTTTAGTAACTAATCAGCCTAATGCTTTTGCTTATGAAAATTTTATCATCATTAATTTTTTTCATTTTGGATTGAGAAAATGAATCCAGATATAAAAGAAAGTACAGGATGTTGGGGAAAAGTAGCTGTAAAACAGTGGACCATCTAATAACTAATTTGCTATCGTATTGACTCTCTAGCACATAGGTAACCCTCCAAAAAATCATCCAGTTTGCTAAATTATGGAAATTTTGTGGAAGACGTTGACCTGGATTTTGAGCCTCATCATGGCTTCATCGGAATTTCATAGTGACCACAGGCTCTCATACAGTTCACAAGGTAGGATTCCTGCTTTTGAAACTGACAAAAAATATTGCTATTAATCAACTACAGTCCTGCACTCTATCAGCTGAACTACTGAAGGGACTGAATATTTAGTTTGGGTGAGCATTTTCTTTGGAATATGTAGTGGTAGGAGCAGTGTCAGTTCAGTGCACATTTCATAAATGTTAAGGCCTCTAAAAGTCTGCTTAACTTGTTCCACTAGTATGTAATATCCAGTAGATTTTTAGAGTTGACTGGTCTTTTTCAAAAGATACAGACCAGTCCTCTTCTTCTGAATCCGAAACATTGATAGGCTCATTCATTGCTAGAGTGTACAGGTAAAGTCATGTTCAAATGGAATCCAAAGATTTCTACTATGAAAGAGCAAGAAACTAGACACATTTTACATAATAAAAGGCTAATATGCAAATCAACCAAACGGCAGAACAACTGGTCGCTATGATGAGCGCTGACCACCAGGGGGTAGACACTCAACGCAGGAGCTGCCCTCTGGTGGTCAGTGTGCTCCCACAGGGGGAGTGCCACTCAACTGGAAGCTTGGCTGACGGCTGGTGAGGGCAACGGTGGTGGTGGGAGCTTTTCCTGCCGGCTAAGCCGTGCTAAGAATGTCCATCAGTCAGACATCCCCCAAAGGCTCCCAGACAGCGAGAGGGCACAGGCTGGGCTGAGGGGACCCATACTCTATCACATTCATAGTCTTTTAAAATAATGTTATTTTGAGGAATTAAATAATTGAAACTTAATTCATCTTTAGATTTGAAACCTTTACTCTTTTACTTTAGTATACTATAACATATTTTTCCATAACTCACCCCTGAAGGTTCATAGTGTTAACTGATATAATGGTTATTCACACTGCTACTTTGTTGTTCTGTTAAATTTTCTTTTTTTCCATGTGTTTTTTTTTTTTTCCTTCTGGATACTCTGCTTTATGATTATGAAGAGGAATTCCTGACTTATCTAGAACACTACCAGCTCACTATTCCGATAAGGGTTGACCAAAATGGAGCTTTCCTCAGCTATACTGTGAAAAATGACAAACACTCGAGGAGAAGACGGAGTATGGACCCTATCGATCCACAGCAAGCAGCATCTAAGTTATTTTTTAAACTCTCAGCCTATGGCAAGCACTTTCACCTGAACTTGACCCTCAACATGGATTTTGTGTCCAAACATTTCACCGTAGAATACTGGGGGAAAGATGGACCTCAGTGGAAACATGATTTTTTAGACAACTGTCACTACACAGGATACTTGGAAGATCAACATAGTACAACCAAAGTGGCTTTAAGCAACTGTATTGGGTTGGTAAGTAGATGTTATAATTTTAAATTTCTTATGGGGATATAAATTCTCAATGTTAATGTCTTTCCTCAGATTAATAAATACGTATACACAACATCTAAATATTTTTTTTGTTATTTCTGCTGCCTTTGCTTTTGATAGTATTGATTTTGTTCAAAGTCAGAGCAATATTAAAAACCCTATATTGTTAGTAGAAAAATGAATGAAACCTCAGGTTTAATTTTAGATTTAAGTTTTTTTTCTGTTCAAGTAAGATATCTTTTATGCATAAACAAAATCCAATCATTGGTGAAGAATTTAAGATTATGTGTGCATGTATTTGTGTGTATTATTTCAGGAAACCATGACACTGATTGCCTCTTTAGGTTTCTTTCTATAATGTTGTTCTTTGGTTGTCAACATAGCTTAATTATGTGTGACCTACTTATGATTATAAAGTCTTAAACTTTAAAAAAAATTGATTTTAAAGAGGAGGGAGGGAGGGAAGGAGAAAGGGAAGGAGGGAGGGAAGGAAGGAGGGAGGGAAGGAGGGAAGGAGGGAGGGAGGGAGGGAGGGAGGGAGGGAGGGAGGGAGGGAGGAGAGAGAGAGAGAGAGAGAGAGAGAGAGAGAGAGAGAGAGAGAGAGAGAGAGAAACATCAATGTAAAAGATTGCCTTTGATCTCTTGCTTTCTGTATATGCCCTGATCAGGGAGCAAATCCAAAATGTGGGCATGTATCCTGACCGAAATCTAACCTGCCATCCTTCAGTGTATGGGACAAATGCTCCAATTAAGTGAACTAGGCCAGCCAAGGTGGTTATAAATTCTTGAAGCAAAATCTTTTATACCAATATGTCTTTATTAAACAAAATTTTTCTGCATTTATCTGAAGATTGATTATAAATTTCATTTTACTTAGATTTTAAGAGTGTAGGGTCTATCCTAGGCATTTGATTCCATTCTAGTCTAATGGTAAATACACAGTTTAAGGTTACAAAACAAAGCATATTCCCACATTTCCTCTACTGCTTTTACCATATTCAGGCTAATGTAGATGTTCCATTAAAGCTCTATTTGTGTAAAAGAGCACTTTTTTTTTTTCCCTGCAAAAAGCTTTATTGGTCCGGTGCATGGGGAAGGGCTGCAGGGTGGTTAAAAGGGTGGCTAGCGGTGTCAGGGAGAGGCTCAGGGAAAAGCCAGCCACCAGGGGAATGCAGAGGGGCCCCTCAACGGACTCTGAGCTCTCAGGCTCCTAGCGGAGCTTCAGGGTGAGCTTTTGGAAGCCCAGCCTGGGGCCCGCCAGCCTGCGGATATGAGTCAGATGGTCGCCCATCTTCTGGATGAGTTTCACCTCCTCACCTCGGAAGTGCTTCTGCAGGAAGTCACAGAGCTGAGGGTCTGTGCAGGGGCGACTCAGGGCCTGCAGCTCCTGAAGGACCTGGTTCAGGTTCCTCTCCAAGGCCAGGGCGGCTTCCATGGCGTCCTGAGTTTTGACCCACTCATTTTGGGAGGCTTCAGCACGTCCTGGGGAAAAACTCGGCCACCGCGCCGGTTTTGCATCTTTCATAAGGGACGCTGGGCATCCTCCGCATCTTCTCTGCTGACTCGCAGAAGGGGCCCCGCCCTCCAGAGCCACACGGCGGTGGAAATAGAAGCCCAGAGAGAGGTAGGTAGGTGTAGGAGGCCTGAAGGAGCAGGTTGGCCAAGTGACTCAGGACCGCTCCATCTGGGTGGAATGATTCTGATGAATTTGGGGGCTCGTGTTGTTCCGAAATAAGAAGTTTAGGTAAAACACGGCATTCATCGGCCGTTTCATTCAGAGGCTGAGGATGGCTTGAAGAGATTCTGAAGTTGGTGACTGGTCTGAGGCTGGAGGAAGGGGGTGTCCCTGGGTTCCAGCCAAACACTGTTGAAGCAAGAGACAGATCTGAGGGATCTGCCAAGAGCACAGTTGTTGTTTTTTTTTTTTTGTTTTGTTTTGTTTTTATTTTTATTTTTTAATCCTCAACCAAGGATATTTTTTCCCCATTGATTTTTAGAGTGTAGGAAAGAGAGAGAGTCAGAGAGCAACACCAATGTGTGAGAGAGATTGATTGGTTGCCTTCCACATGCCCTCTGACCAGGGCTGTGAGCCTGCAACTGAGGTACTTGCCCTTGACTGGAATTAAACCTGGGACCCTTGTAACCAAACGGTCTAGGGCAAGAGCACAAACATTTTGATGCTCAAGTCATACTTTCAGAAATGTTTTCTCCCCCCCCATACTCTATCACATTCATATTCTTATTCCTAGGTTAATATAAAAATATGGAATTAAAGTTGGAATTAAATAAGTCGTAAATTTGAAAGGATTATTAGGAACCACACAGTTTAGGAAAATTTTCATTACAGCTATAAATAAGAATTTGTTCAGGTTGTCTATTTTCTATAGTTGTTAGTGGGTCAAATGATTAGATTTTAAGATTTGGGATTAATTCCTATAAATAGAAACATTGAGTAGTTTTATCATTAGTTTATCTGTAAACAGTGTTAGGCTTTATATACAAAATAGGTTTATCTTTTTGAATAAAAATAGATTTTCCAAAGTAGATATGTGTTTTAAAAGCTTTCATATGTTTAAATGACATTTACTGTTGAATATGATAGAAAAGTACCATTGTCAGTCATTGATCAAGCCTTCTAAATTTGGCATTAACATTAATTATGCCATTGGCAGTTTTAATAGGTTGGTGAAAGGGACAAATTTGAGATTTAGAAAAAAAACACACTAATTCCATTGTGAAATTTGAGGGAACAGGAGCGATTGGAGGTGTGAAGATGAGTTAGAACATTTAGGAAATAATAAAAGCCTTTACAAAATTATGGCACTGAGAATAAATTTGAAGAGAAAATAAATTTGGTGAGACAATTTAGAGGATTGGTATTTTATTAAATTTTTCTTCCCTGACATCTCATAAGACTATATAGTAGATATTTTATAATATTTTAGGAAGTAGAAATAGAGAAAGGCAGAGAGACAGAAACATTGATCAGTTCCAACTGTAGTTACCCTGATCTGGATCGAACCCAAAGCCTGACTGAGAATTGAACCTTAGACCTTTTGGTGCACAGGATGACCCTCCAACAAACTGAGCCACACCAGCCAGGACCACCTGATTATTCTTCATCCTCACTGAGACTTTCTGTCTCTTGGTCTCTTCCCTGTCTTTATTAACACATTTTTACTTTGCTTCCTATTGAAACTGCATGGTCTATGTTGACTGACTACTTGATTAAGGTTAGCTCTGCCATGTTTGTCCACTGAAGTTACTATTTACCTCTTGGCAGCTGATAAGGTATCTGTGAACAGACACTGGAGGGCTATGTACTATATCCTGTTAGTCTTAGTAACCCTTGTCTTCATTCTTATTTTGTATCATGTTATACTTTTAATCAGATGAATATGTGTAAAAGCTTTTTAAAAAATCCTACTTTTGCCTTAGCTGGTTTGGCTCAGTGGATAGAAGGTCAGCCTCCGGACTGAAGGGTCCTGGGTTCGATTCTGGTCTAGGGAACATGTCAGGGTTTTGGGCTTGATCCCCAGTAGGGGGCATGCTGGAGGCAGCCAATCAGCGATTCCTTCTCATTATTGATGTTTCTATATTTCTCTCCATCTCTCTTCCTCTCTGAAATCATTAAGAACATATTTAAAAAAAAACTTTAAGGGAAATGAGGAAGGGAATGCTGATATCTTAGGGATAATTTTTCCAGGTGGAAATCTTTAAGTACAAAGGTTTGATCTTAGAGTGTTGAGGAAAAGCAAGAATACCATCGCTAGAGCTAAGTGAAAGAGAGGAAGAATAATGGAAGGTGAAGTTAGAAACAGAACTGGAGGCTAGATGGTAGATTTTAGAGGACACAACTAGGATAAAATGAATGATAACTCCAAGCTTGAGGCCTGAATAATTGGAAAAATATAGTAGTCATCAAATGGCATGAGAAAGACTCAGGCATTAATTGAGATGGAAAAGTTTATAGAAAGAATAGTTTGGGGGGTGATATATATCAGAAGTTTAATTGAACATGTTGGATATGCAGGAGAGAGATGTGAATTATGAACTTACAAATTTGGGAGTCATCGATATATAGATGACAGGGACAAGAGATTACATGGAATTGCTTTGGTGGGGAGAATAGATAGAACAAAGAAGAGGTTCAAGGGCTGAATCTTTGGGCACTCCCATGGGTTAAGGAGATCAGAAAGATAAGGTGGAGAGTAGCAAAGAACAATGGAGTAAGGAATTGAAGGAAAACCAGGTAAACATTCTAGAAGCCAAGTAAGAAAGTATTTCAACAGAAAAATGTCAAAATAAGAGTAGGACTGAACCCTAACCACTGAATTGATCAATGAGGAGGTTGTTGATGACTTTGACTAAGTCATGGTGGGGTTTGGAAAATAGACAAAAACTTGTTGGCAAAGGTTTAAGCAGGAATGGGAGAAAGGACTATATAGACAATGATTTAAGGAATTTTAGAAAAGCAAGCAAGGATCAGTTGCTGCCAGCAGAAGTGGGGGTGAGAGGTTCTGTTTTGTTTGATAGGAATGACTATAGAGAGAAAGGACGTTTCTGGAGTGACGTTCTTGATAGGAACAGAAGGGATGGACTCATCTGCATAAACATAATAATTGTCCTTAGCTAAGAGAACATGCAGCTCATCCATAGTAACAGTGTATAAAGTAGATTATATGGATGAGACTCAGGTAGGTGGGGTATTTGCTGTAGGACTTTGCAGGAGGTTGTGCCATGTTGCTTATTGGAACAGGAGATGGAAAAATGAGGTGTTAGGGGATTAAGAAGAGAGGAGAAAGTATAAAACATTTATCCAGAAGTGCAGCATACTGAATAAACCAGAGAAACAGTATAATTGCCATGAAGCGTTAAGGACACAGTTGAGATTATGATGATGAAGTTCAAGGAGACCAGCTGGCATCTTGTTTGTGTTTTCCTCTGGCTGAATGAAGCTGCAAGGGTACAGGCCCAGAGTAGCGAAGTTGAATTTAATCTGCAACTTGCCATAGTCTCAGTTTCAAGTGTTCCCTTCTTCTGTCTTTCCAGTACTGTCTCTCTAGTATCTCAACTCTAAGAGACAACCTTTTTATGTCCCAGAGAACCCACTCATCCTTTTCATTGTCCACCCAATCCATGTCTTCACTTCCCTCCAAACACACCTTCAATTCCCTTGCCCTTTTCTCCCTTCATGGAATTTATTTGACTAAACTACAACCCTGTTCCCTTTACTCACATTTCTGTTCCAATGTCACCTTATTGGAGAGGATGACCCTGACCATCCTAAATAGTTTATGTAATTCCCTCACTTCCAATTACTTTCTATTCTCTTACACTTCTTTATTTTTCGTGTTAACATTTATCACTACCTGATTGATCATTTATTTATCTAAGGAATGAATTACTTTTTTTCTAGCTCCTCCCACTGGAATGTAAGGATAGAGTTGGAACTTTGGTTCATTATTGTATCCCCACCATCTAGCACAGTACCTGCCCTATCATAGGCATTCAAACATAGTCGGTGAATGAATAAAGTCACAAACCACCCTCAGAGAATAAGGGAATTATAGTACAGTGGCTGAGTCCAGCTCCAAAGTCTGCCAAGTGAGTTTGTTACTTAACTTTGCTCAGTCTCCGCTTGTCATCTGCACAGAGTAACTGATAGTAGTACTTACTTCAAAGGGCTACTAAGATGAAATGAAAACAACAACGATGAAATGCGATGATATGTGTGAACATCTTACAGAGTACTCAACACACAAAATCTCTGGATTCTCTTCTGGAGTCCTTCCATTCTTGAAATTAGAGATTGTATCTGTTTACAAGGCGTATGACTCTCCCCCCCCCCCCCCCCCCCCCCCAGCAACCTGAGATTCTTGGCTTGAGTGACTTGCCCACAGTCCAGGATGACGTTAGTGCTCTTCCTCTCAGGGCAGTACTCTAGACCCCACTTTCTACCCTTCCCTCTTACCAAGACTTCTCATACATCCCCTCCTTCCTGCAGGGGCCGTGTTTGGTTCACTGTCCCACTGTTAACCTTCTCTGGTAAAGTATTCATGCATTTGTTAATGGCAGATTATGTCATTCCTGTCAGTATTTGCATTTAATTTAGAGGATAATATCTTTAAAGTAAAATGGTGAAAATAATCTGAAGTGACTAAGGGCTGTTTTCTTGGTGTGTTTTCTGCATTCCTTAGCTCACTTCAGTACAGGTGCTGCCAACTTCATCTCTAAGTTAGAGCAGTTCTGACTATGCCTTATCTTTCTTTCCAAGCATATGGTACGCAACATGAATTTCCTGAAACAGAATCATAAAGGCTTAGATTCAAAGGGGCTTCAGAGATTATCAGGGCAAGAGGCTTTCAGCTCCCCCCTTCTTTTTAAAGAAGCAAAAACACTTTCTCAAATGAAATGTAATGTGGAAACTTCATAAATAGATGAATAAAAGCATAGCTGATTCTTAAACCCAGGAATCCAAGCTGTGTAGGTCTCTCTTTGTTGTCTGGGGCAGTCCCCCGAGGGCACTTCCATGGAACCCTTAGGGCTCCCCAGAGTGCTGTTTTAAAACCACTAATTTACACCAACCCTTTAATTTTCCAGCTGAGGAAATACCCGGGGAGTTTGTGTTTTATCCAGTGTTACAGGGCAAATTAGTTGGATTAAGAGCAGTCCTCTCATGTGCCACACTTAGGAAAATACTATCAGACAGGGATGGAACGTCTTATTCCTGATGCAGATAACTTTTACTATCTCATTTCTTTTAATTAGCAGTTTTTTTTACGTGGCGTATGTAGCACATGTGGGATACTTTCTATGGTTGTAACTGATACAGGGAAAGAGGAGATATAACCCTTTGCCTTAAGAAAGCATCTGGTATACTTGGGGAGATAACACGTGCAGGTGAAAAGCTGTAATACATCGAAATATAGGAGTTGAGATGTAGCAAAGCAGAGTGGAATTAATTAAAAATAAATAGATTAAAAATAAATCATAAGCTCCGTTGTAACCCAGGAGGTGGGGGAAGCTGCTCCAGTTGGGCTAGAGAAAGGACTGGCTCAATAACTAGGTGTAAGGCAATTATACTGTGAACAAAAGCAGAGTTTTGTGTGACTTCCAGCTCCTTCACTTACTTGCCTCTGTATAATATTGAGCAAGCTCTTAACCTTTGAGCCTGCTACTTCACTGGCACAATAGTGACCTATGGCAGGTATATTAATTAAGGACATATTAATTGCTGAAACATAAACCTTGAAATGTCAGTTATCACATTAAAAGTTTATTTCTCCCTTATATCAGCGTCTGTATTCAACAGCTTTCCATGAGGTCATTCAGGGACCCAGGTTCTTTCTCTTTTGGTTTCCATCTTCCCTCGGCCTTTTTTTTTTTTTTTTTCTGTAGAGAGAGTGGAGAATTCCGCTGAGGAGGTTTCAGGGGCTTGCCTGAAGGTCATGTACAACACTGCCCATTTTCTATTTGCCAAGCTGACTTACAAAGCTATACCTAAACACAGAGGACGTAGTTAAGTGTGCATAATTTGGAAAGGGAATAAGTCTTAGTGAGCCCATAGAGATCTCTGCTATCTCATAGAGTTGTTAGGAGGATTAGAGGAAATAATGTATGTGTCATTCTTTGTACACGGCATAACATGTAGAGGTACTTAAATATCCTTTTTAAAGGAAACGAAAATTTATATAATGTTTTGCTAAGAATGGACAATTTACTAAATTTTTATTAACGCGTGTTTTAACCTTTTTGGAGAGGTATCTGTTTATTTTTAACTTTTTGGAATGACAATATTTAAATGCTTCTTCTCGGCAAATTCTCTGTTTCTTTTTCTGTTAGCATGGTGTTATTGCAACAGAAGATGAAGAATATTTTATTGAACCATTAAAGAACACCACAGAGGATTCCAAACAGTTTAGTTATGAAAATGGCCATCCCCATGTAATTTACAAAAAGTCTACCCTTCAGCAACGGCATATGTATGATCACTCTCATTGCGGGGTTTCTGGTAAGTGAGCTACATATTGTATTGTATTGCCATTCGATTTCTTCCGTCAAAGTTAATAATAAAAGTAAACAATAATTTGAGTAATTAAAATGATAATGTCCAGAGTCCTCTTTAAAAATGTCACTTACCCATAGTTTTAAGTCAATCTTGGAATCTCTTCGAAATAGAAATCTGTGTAAAATTCTATTACTTTTTCTGTGAAGGGGAAAGAAGCCTACATTATTTTATCCAGTAATAGTTATAGTTCTCATGCATGGGTGTTCCATAGCACTTGGTGCTGTGTGCTTAGCTTGGTATTTTCATGCTAGTGACAGGAATCTAGACACTTGGATAAGACTTGAAGAGTTTTAAGGTAGTATTTGAGGTTGAATATAGAAGAAGCAACAAACCTAAACGTCATTGGTCAAGGAAGGCTTCATGGAGGAAGTGACTTCTAAACTGAGGCCCAACCGATAAGTCAGGGTAGCTGGGCAAAGGTAGAGGGAGCAGTTGGTAGTGTTCCCTTTAGAGGGAACAGCATTGACAAAGGTTCTGGACCTGAAGAGACAATGTCATCTTCTAGGAACTGATAGTTCATATAACTGGATGGTAGAATGTGGGTTGGAGAAATAGGGGTGATATTCATGGTAGTTGGGGGAGTGGTAGTGAGGAATGAAACTGCAGAAATAAGAAGAGGCCAAATCAAATCACAAAGGCCTTATAAACCATGTTAAGGAGCTAGTTTACCTTAAATGTGCTGGAAAGCCTTGAAAGATTCCTATGCAGTAGGAATCACATGGACAGATTTGGATTTCATAAAGATTACTCTGGCAGCCATCTAGAGACTAGACTAGAGCTAGGGCATTGGTCTGCAAACTCAGTCAACAGAGCTAAATATCAACAGTACAACGATTGAAATTTCTTTTGAGAGCCACATTTTTTAAACTTCTTCAACGTCACTTCTTCAAAATAGACTCGCCCAGGCTGTGGTATTTTGTGGAAGAGCCACACTCAAGGGGCCAAAGAGCCGCATGTGGTTTACGTGCTGCAGTTTGCTGACCCGGCGCTAGGGAAATAGGAGCCTGTTCAGGCTAAAGATTAGAAAACTTAGAGAAATAGAAGATATAGCACAAGCATAGTAGAAAGAACATGGACTTTGATATAGCTTTGGATAAATTACTCAACCTCTCTCTATGAGAACTTTTATCACACATTAGTTAGTTAAATTATAGCAATCATTGTTGGGGTAACTGTTTCTAGCATTAAAAGAATGAAATGTATATATGACCAGATTTGTTCTTCCGTGTAGTTATAGTAGCTAAACCTAGGGACATTGTATTTCAGAGGCGGATTTTAGAAAGAAGAATTCACTAACAAGTGCTTAGGTGAAAAATGAGGTGGGTTCAATAGGTAGATTTGTAAAAGGCGAAAGATTTATGCGGTCTGAAGAGAAACCAGAGCATAATAGGTAGATTTGTAAAAAACGGAGTGGATTGCCTTGGAATTAGTGAATGCATCACCCTTTTATTTCTTTTGGATCCTTCATGGGCTCCTTATTTTCTGCTTCAAGTATAAGTGTTCTTTAACCTTCTTTTCTCAACTGACCTTATTCTGCATTCTCTCTTCTTGAGTAATCTCTGAGGCTTTTACTAGTAATTATGTGAGGTCCTTTGTTGGTCAGAATAATTAGTACTAGAAAAAGGCCACTTCAAGAGAATCCATTTAGAGCATGAAATAAAATTTCAGAGTGAATAATAATAAAAAGTGTTTAATTTGTCTTTGTATTGAGTAATGGATCTAAACATTATGGAAGTAATTTATCTTGTGTTTAACAAAAGTGAGGCTATAAGTACAACAATCTATAAGTTTTTTAAAATATATTTTATTGATTTTTTTTTATAGAGAAAGGGAGAGGGATAGTTAGAAACATCGATGGGAGAGAAACATCCATCAGCTGCCTCCTGCACACCCCCTACTGGGGATGTGTCCGCAACCACGGTACATGCCCTTGACGAATTGAACCCAGGACCTTTCAGTCCACAGGCCAACACTCTATCCACTGAGCCAAACCAGTTAGGGCTCTATAAGTTTTTTTAAAATGAGGATTAAAATATTTAGTTGTTTATTATAATTTTTTAATAGCAAATTATCCTCTTTTCTTTTGTTGTTAATCCTCAACCAAGGATATTTTTCCATTGGTTTTTAGAGAGATTGGAAGGTAGAGGGAGAGACAGAGAGAGAAACATCAATGTGAGAGACACATTGGTTGGTTGCCTCCAGCATATGCCCTGACCATGGCCCGGGATCAAGCGTGCAACTGAGGTAAGTGCCCTTGACTAGAATCGAACCCAGGAGCACTCAGTCTGCAGGTCAGTCGACGCTCTATTCACGGAGCCAAGCTGGCCAATGCAAATCATCCCCTTTTGAAGTGCCTATCTTGTTAAGTGGTCTTTCTTGGACAGATTATTATTTTTCAACTGGAGTCCCAATGCACAAAATTTGTGCAAGAGTAGGCCTTCCTTCCCTCAGCAGCCAGCACTGCTTCCTTCTGGCACCCAGGACCCGGGCTTCCCTCACAGCCCTGGCTTTATCTGGAAGGCCGTCTGGTAGGATGTCTGGTCTAATTAGCATATTACATTTTTATTATTATAGATGGTTTAGGCATAAGTCAAATTGCCATCATAACATCCTGCCCTTTTTGGGGAAGATTTTCTTCTGCAATCTCTTCCCCTACATTACTGAGACTATTTCATAAATGGTTCTTGCTTTTAATCTGTTCCATCCACTAGCCATTTCTACCACCCCTAACACCAGGTGATTTAGTTCATACCCTCATTGTTTCTTGCCAGTATACTGTAATTGTTTCTAACTGGTCTTCCTGTCTCCAGCTTTGTCTTTCTGTCTCCTAGATCTGGCTGTACTACATACCTTCAAACACATCACTGGCTTCCCCATAATGGAAATATGGTAGTAGTCCCCTAAGTTTTGTGAGAATGTCATTAGATGTTAGTGGGAAAAAGTGTTTTGTATTCACTAAGTTTGGGAAATGTCTGGTTAAGAACTACTGATCTTGTGATACTATTTCAACAGCTTAGTTCAAGATACTAACTGAATGAGTTTCAAAAATATTTGACTTATTCTTCTCATGGTCATATTCATCTTATTTCTTAAAATTTATAACTTCTCCCAAAGTCATATTTAAAAGGAAAGGTTAAAGAAGTTAGAAAGACAAAGTATCACTTTCTGTCAAGTATATAAATTCATCTAATTTTTTTCTGACTACATTTTTCAATAAGTGGAGGTTCAAAAAATTTTCTGTATATAAGAAATATAAGTGAGATATACAGAGGACCTGTACCTCCTCAAGTTTATTAAGTGAAGATGAATATAAATGAGGCAAGTATCTACAAATGTCATAGCACTCACGGATTTTCTGTGTGCTGAAGAACCAAATGTCTAGAAAACCATGGGTCAACCACAGTCCACATTGAGATGCAGTCATGCTGGAATCATTCTAATGCCCTCTACCTCTAGGTTTTGGAAAAGGAATACTTTGGGTACTCTGTCAGTATAAATAGTGGTAGACTGCAAAATTAAGTGAAAAATTTATTCACAGCTTTTTAGAATTGAGATAGCTAGTGTAGTAGAATTGCTCTAATAAAGATAGTTTAATAAACACATCTTACTTTAAAAATAAATGCTCATCTTAGGAATGGACTTTTGCAACATTAATGTTCTTCATCAGAACTGTCTTAGACTGTTTAGAAAATTAGTGCTCTAGTTGCTTTTTAAACAGCTTTAAATGTTTTTTTTAAATACCTATTTTAAATTTAAAAGTATTATGATGCAATCACTTACTAGAATAATGTGAAATGATTATTTGAAAATTCTTTTTATTTAGTAGTTCATTAGGCTTATTTTGTTCTTACGAGCAGTTTAATGTTAATAATAAAATATCATTTTTATTAGTAATTCATTAGATTTACACTGAGTGGCCAGATTATTATGACCATCCCATCAGTACTTCTTTGACACTTCCAAAAATACTAAATATTGAAAACTTCCTAAGCAAATACTCTCAAGGTTTTATTATTATCATTATTCGTATAACTAATTCATTGTACTAATGGAGTGATCATAATAATCTGGCTGGTAATAATAATCTGGCCACTCAGTGTACTTTGTTTTCATAAGCAATTGAATATTTTATTTTTGTATATAATTATTTTGAAAACTTTTAAAGAGTTTAATTTTCTCACTATTACATTTCCCCTCACTTTGAAAAATCTTAATATGTTAGGGAATTTATGAGAAGCATGTCTAAAGGAAAGACCTATAAATAAATAAATGTAATTAATGAGCCTATCTGAACTAGTTAATTGTTTCTGTTGTAGACCTCATGAATGGCAACCCTTGGTGGCTGAATTCCACATCTGCTTTTCCTTCTGCACCACCAACTAATGGCACACACAGACAGAAGAGATCCATAAGCACTGAGCGCTATGTGGAGACATTAGTCGTGGCAGACAAAATGATGGAGTCCTATCATGGCCGCAAAGACATTGAACATTACATTTTGAGTGTAATGAATATTGTAAGTTTGATCCCTCTACATAATTTAACAGTTGTGTGTGTGTGTGTGTGTGTGTGTGTGTGTGTGTTTACTAAGGCCATAGATTTTTATTGGGAAATAAAGATTTTAAGAATTTTTTCATCTAAAATGAAAAAGACTTGATCTACTAATGTTTCAGTTCCATAGAAAATGCATTTAAAGGTGACCTTATTATTTTCAGATAATATGACTTTAATTAGGTCATATTAAATCTTGTTTAAGAGTTTTTCTTTAACTTGACACATCAGCTCATCCTCTTCATTACTGTGTTGTTATTCATCTTTAGGAGAAAATATTTCTTGAGGTAGTCTTGGATCTTTTACCGAGGCATCTTGAGGGTATTGCTTTAAGTGACATGGGATGAATGAAAAAATTTTTTAATGCAGAGTAGCTAAATTTATGAAAAATTGTTTTGCCACTCTATAAAAATATTAATCACCATATGATTTTTGTCTGACTTTGTGTCTTTTCTTATTTTCTGGAGGTCAGGTTGCCAAACTTTACCGTGATTCCAGCCTAGGAAACGTTGTGAATATTATAGTGGCCCGCTTAATTGTTCTCACGGATGATCAGGTAAGAATGAGTTAGTTTATAAACCTAAAATCTTAACAGATAGGCTATCGAATTATGTCTTGTAAAATAACATATTGTATTATTGTTCCTCTTAGGAAGTTCTAGTTGAATATGATTTTTAGCACTAAGCATTTAGCATTTTTTAAAAATAAGATATTTTTATTGATTTCAGAGAGGAAGGAAGAGGGAAAGAGAGAGAAAAAAAATCCACGATGAGAGAGAATCATGGACTGGCTGCCTCCTGCAAGTCTCCCACTGGGGATCAAGCCCACAACCCAGGCATGTGCCCTTGGCCGGAATCGAACCTGTGACCTTCCGGTCCCCAGGCTGACGCTCTATCCACTGAGCCAAACCGGCTAGGGCACAGTTAGCAAATTTAAAGTTTTTAAGAATATACCTCTTATGTCATGTTAGAGCTATATATATGTATATTAGCTGTATGTTTCAGTATAAAAACAAACATTTGCACAACAGACCTTTTAATAGTGGTTTTGGTTGATTTTATATGCTGATAATCACACATATTCACATTATCTTAAAGCTAGAACTAGAAAGAATGTTTGTTTAATAGTACACTAAATTAGCTCTAGGTCAGATATTACAGAGATAAAAATTGGCAAGAGAGTATTCCTAGAAACCACTGCTTCTAATTATAGCCCCACTTTAGTCTTCAAAAGTTTTAACAACTGACCTTAGTAATTTGTTTGGAACATTTCTGGTATGCATGTTGTATTGCAGCCAAACTTGGAGATAAACCACCATGCAGACAAGTCCCTCAATAGCTTCTGTAAATGGCAGAAATCCATTCTCTCCCACCAAAGTGATGGAAACATCATTCCAGAAAATGGGATTGCCCACCACGATAATGCGGTTCTTATGACTAGGTATGGTTTGTTGCAAGTATTTTACTTTTGATTGTTGTCTTTGATATTGTAACTATATTTGGTTCTATCTAAAGCCTCATTTAGGCAATGAATATAGAGAAAGTAAAATGCTAATTTATTGTTCACCACTGAGAAAGAATATATTGCATTGTTATTGTGTTTGCATCAACTAAGAAAAAGGAAGATTTAGTTGAGGTAGAAATTTAATAAATATCTTACCTTCTACTAAGGTCTGTTCATAGGGTTTAATTGGAAGCATATATATGCTTTGTGAATTGAACATACTAAATGCAATATTTTAAAAAGTCATCATTCTTGGTTATAAAATATATTAATTATTCTTACCTCCAAATGTTAAAAGAGTGGCCATCAGTAGTTACACAGTTTACTTAGATGAATGCTTACTTAATTAAAAATATTTAAATAAATAAATAAATAAATAAATATATATATTGCTTTATTATGCTATATGTTGAATAGCTTGTCTCTTAGGCAAACATTATTTGGTGGTAACCCAATGAATGCATCTATTTCTTACCAGTTTTACAAAACTGTTTTCAGATCCATTTTATTCCTTACTTTCCAACAACTCTGTGAAGTAGATATTGTTATTATTTTTCCCATGTAAGAGATGAGGAAACTGGTTCAAAATACTGAAGTTGCTCAAGATCATTCAGCTAATAAGTGAAAAAACAGGACTGAAACCCTGGGGTTTCTTTTTTGATTATATTATTCTGTCTTGGATTTTTTTATACTCTAGGTATGATTGGCTAGAAGTATGCTTAAATCATTTTAAGATAAGTTTATCTTTTTACCTCTAATCAGCATTTAATATTGAAAACAATAAGTAATAACAAAGAACAATAAATGAAGTGGAAGCATTGTTCTATCTTTGCTAAATGCAATAGTCCTTGTTATTTTGATTATTTCTTTTAATTTGTAAGGTGGTATTTAACATACACTTCATCTGGTGTGCACATGGCTCTATGTCAGACTCTATGGAGGGAGGAGAAAGAATATGGGATTAGAATCTTTAGACCCAGAATCTTGAGTGAATTTAACTTAAAATTTTTTTTTTTATCTTAGTTGTGAAGTTTCTGAGTTTATTTTATCAGTTAGACTTACTTTAATTGCCTTCATCTACCTGACATCGTAAACCAGAAAAATTTGTTATGACATGCTTGTTGAATAAAAATAAAATTGTACAGTTCTATATTCATATGTGTTGATACATTAGTTTGATAAATCCTGCACTTCCTCAGCATCTTGTGATCTGGAATGATTCCCAGATATATTTGAGAAGTAAAAATATAGAAATTGTGCAAATATAGAAAGCTTTGTGTAAAAATATATATGGATATCATTAATGTCAATGAAATTACTAGAGGTAAATGTCTATTACATATGGTTAGGAAAATGACTGCAGATATTTACATTGGCTCCTGTATTTACATTTATAAAGCCCTACCTCATCACAAAGACAATACCCAGTGGCTCTTGATGCTTCACATTTTTATTATTGTGCAAGAGGCCCGCTGCACGAAATTCATGTATGGGGGGTGTCACTCAGCCCAACCTGCACCCTCTCCAATATGGGACCCCATGAGGGATCCTTCTCATCCAAGACTACTGGCTCCCAACCGCTCACCTGCCTGCCTGCCTGATTGCCCCTAACCGCTTCTGCCTGCCAGCCTGATCAGCCCCTAAGTGCTCCTCTGCCATCCTGATCAATGCCTAACTGCTCCCCTCCCCCGTGCTGGTCTGATTGCCCCTAACTGCCCTCTCCTGCTGGCCTGCTCCCTCACAACTGCCCTCTCCTGCTGACCTGGTCTTCCCCAACTGCCCTCCTCTGCTGGCCTAGTCACCCCTAACTGTCCTCCCCTGCAGGCCGTTCCCCCCAACTGCCCTTCTCTGCTAGCCTGGTCCCCCCCAACTCCTCTCCTCTGCTGGCCTGGTCACCCCAACTGTCTTCCTCTGATGGCCTTGTCACCCCTAACTGCCCACTACCGCCCTCCCCTGCAGGCCATCTTGTGGTGGCCATCTTGTGTCTACATAGGGGCAGCCATCTTTGACCACGTTGGGGTGGCCATCTTGTATCTTAGAGTGATGGTCAATTTGCATATTACTCTTTTATTAGATAGGATCTGCCTTGGATTTGTCACTTTTGAATCAAGTGGCAGGAGTTATTCCAGCAGTGCACAATTTTAAGTATTTGAGTAGTGAAGTACATCTGGGCAGTTAGCCACTCTTTCTTTGCACTGACTACATTTGGCTGACTGACTTGTTACTTTGAATTGGCCCAGATATTTTTTGATCCTTTGCAGAGATCTTTGCTTCAATAAGAACCTTTAGTGCTTGTTTTGATGTCTGAGATTTGAATCTAAAATTTTCTTTGTAAACTTGTCTCCCAATGGTCAGACCAGCACTAGAAATTATCCCAGGATTTAATAGTAAAGTATTTTAATGGGTTGATATCTCATGTCATTTTATATTGGTTATGTAGTGGAGATTAGAAAAGTGTCACTTTGGGCAGAATAGAATGGATTTGAATTGTTATTGAAGTCTAAAACTAACTTTTACTTTATTTAAAAGTCTACAAGTAATTTTGAATTATTAGTGCTTAGCCAAAGGAAATGGCTGTCATCTCTAATATTTAGGGTTTTTTTATTTATTTATTTTTTTTATTTTATTATTATTTTTTTTTGTCGTTGGGAGGTTTTACCAATGCTTGACTCTCCCTTATAAATTTTTGATTTGTGAAATTGAATATGTTTAAATCATACTACTACTTTTAGTAAAAGTAATTATGATTTTATAGTAATGTTGAAAACTGTTTTATATAATTCACTTATTAACATATTCAGGACTAAGACTCCACCATTTAGAGGTGCAATAGTGATTTATGCTTGCTTGAAATGCCTGCTCACTAGAAAGAATGTATAATGTATCTATTGAGAATTCCAAAGAAAAATTAATATGTTTATTTCCACTAGGTCTAATTTTGTCCTAGGGATTTAAATGTTTTAAGCAGAAAACCATTTGGAACTATAGTTACTTAGGTAATAATACTAGTTACTTTTGAAAAAAATAGAAAAGCTCAAGATGTTATCTCTTAGCAAATAAAATTTCATTGTTTCATTTTACTGATATAAAAGTAAAATAAACTGTGTGCTACAAAGTTATCAGATCACTGTGACTAGACAGGAAGAAACTAAAGTAAAAAAAATTGTTTTACATGGTATAAAAAATTTGAATTAATACCAAAGAGCATATTAAAACTTTATATATACATATTTAAATTTTATATACATTTATGTTTATTTTTATACATAAGCATATATATATAAAATGTTATATATCAGCTAACTTTATCTAATCTTTTTAAAATAATTGAAATATAATTGACAAATACAATTGTATATATTTAAAGTATGCAACATGATTAATTGATATACATATACATTTTGTGCTGATTATCATAATCAAGTTAATTAACATACTATCACCTCATAGTTATCTTATTTCTTATTTCTTTTTTGGGGTGAGACTGTTTAACATTTACTAATTTAGCAAAGTTCAAGTATACATACAGAATTATTAAATATAGTCACTATAGTCATGTGTGAATTAGATCCTCAAAATTTATTTATCCTATAAAAGTTGTAGCCTTTGACTAACATTTTCACATTTCCCCCAACTCCAACCTTGGACAACTATCATTCTACTCTCAGTTTCTATGAGGTTTTTTTTTTTTTTTTTTTTTTTTTTTAAAGATTCCACATAACAAGTCCCTCAGCCTGGCCTGTGGGGATCGGGCTGAAAACAGCTCTCCGACATCCCCCGAGGGGTCTTGAATTGGGAGAGGGTACAGGCCAGGCTGAGAGACCCCACAGGTGCATGATAGGGGCTGGGGTGGGACTGTGGGAGGCCCCTGAGGACCACCATTCTGTCTTCTGCCGTCTCACCCAGTCCCAATCAGGGCCAGTCAGGGCCGATCAGGGCTGTCTTGCCCAGTCCCCATCAGCCGGACCCCAGCAGCAAGCTAACCTAACGGTTGTAGTGTCTGCCCCCTGGTGGTCAGAATGTGTCATAGCGACTGGTCAAACGGTCATACACTTAGCATATTAGGCGTTTATTATATAGGATGCTGCAATAAGCATAGAGATGCATATATTTTTTCGAATTAGTGTTTTGGGTTTTTTGGAATTGTACCCAGAAGTAGAATTGCTGGGTCATAAGTATACCACATGTTCTTTATCCATTCAGCTGTTGATGGACACTTAGGTTATTTTCATATCTTGGCTGTAGTGAATAACGCTGCAATGAACTCAGATGTGCAAACATCTCTTCCAGGTAGTAACTTATTAATTTCACTTCCCCCAGATATGTTACCTATAAGTGGGATTGCTAAATCACATGGCAGTTCTACTTTTAAGTTTTTGAGGAAACTCAAAACTGCCAGCAGGGTAGTCTCCCTGCAGTTTCATCAGCTGAAGTTAGTGTTGAGAGGTTTCAGGGGTTCTCCGTGGCCCAGGCTGCGTTGTCTGCAGCAGCAGTCAAAGTTGGTTGGACCGCCTGGTCTCTTTTCCTCCCCAGGGGATATGTGATATGCAGTTGGGGAGGAGATTCCTCTTGGTGCCAGGCCCAGATTGCAGACACACATGGAGCAGTGGTGGAGCAGTGATGGAGCCTGGGACTAGAGTGCCAGTGCCTGCAGTGTGACAGCAGCTCCAGGGGCTGGTGTAGATGTTAACGTGCATTGATGATGGTGTGTGAAATGCGGCATGTATAAAGTGTCTATGGAGACAGAGTCTGACGCGTGGACTGTATGTATACACTTAAAATGTTATGCTTGATACAAAACTTCTAGATTATCCTTTCATTGAGAAACTAAATAGCTATTTAGGAATAAAAATTTGTTATTTGGCAGATTATTTTAATTTATATTTCCACATGAATTCAGGAAATATCCTCCACGAATTTAAAGTTAAGCCAATTTT